TTGTACACACTTAGATGGAATATACTTCCAAAGCCAATCTCATTAATTGCTCTTTTCTGTGCGGCATTCATTTTCTTGCAGGAACTAACCAACACCTGGGGGCAAGTTCTGCTTTTGAGTTTATCGTAAGCCTGTTGTTCCTCATCATTCTCCGAATAATCACTATCCGACTCATCTCCACTTTCGTCATTATTAAGTTCATATGTTGCACCACCACCCACAGTTTCAACTTCTGTGTCATTGGCTTCATTCATAATTTCTTCAGCTACATATGGTTCACCATGATGCTTGTAGTTCACCATTGAATCACCTTTGCAAAAATTTAGAAATAACATGTGTTCAAGAATAAATTCATAAAGTTTATTGCTTCATGTAGGGGAAAATCTAGCATAAGTGAATACAAAATATCTCAAATATAATTTTATTCATATTACCAACATTTTAGAGGTAAAAAATATCCACGAAGCAACATTATATTGAATAGATAAACATAAAAACATAAAGTGTTATAATTGAAGCACATCTAATAAATATCAATATCACAAATATAACTTAGCACGTTCATATATTCAAAATAGCCCATATTTGTTAAATTAAAAGCAACATTTATCAAAAAATTGATACAATGCAAGTCTATACAATATCGATAAAGTTTAACATTTCTAGATTAAATGTTGACATTTTGACTACAAGTATTTCGCCAAACAAATAAAAAAAAAAAAAGAAAAAAAGAAAAAAAGGTGGCAACTGAGAAACGTGGGATTCAACCTGCTGAGACCTTTTTATATACATTTTAATAATGATTTTGTTCCCCTTCTAATGTTATATAATGTTTTTGGATGCAGTGAAAGAATTAACTCCCAGTATATAAGAACTAATAACATAAAATTGTTGATGCACCTTTGCTAAGGGCGGTCGAGGCTGTTCCTAACCTGGTGATGATTTTGGGTGCAAGGTTTTAGTATTTCTAAAGAATAAAGTTTATCTAAAAAGGTCATATGCAACAACTTGACATAACATTAGCACAATAATATTATGAAAGGATGCAGATATAAATATCAATATTTATATTTTATTATTTTTATATTGGCCTAAATTTCAAATTTCTAAAACATAAAATTCATAAAAAATAATAAGTTGCAACAAGTTGCCATATAAATAGCACAATAGAATGCAAAAGTAGCATATTCTATATGCTAATGTTCAACGAGTTGAACATAACAAAATATTATGAAAGGACACAAGTATAAATATCAATATTTGTATTTTATTATTTTTATATTGGCCTAAATTTTAAATTTCTAAAACATAAAGTTGATAAAAAATAATAAGTTGCAACAAGTTGCCATATAATTAGCACAATAGAATGCAAAAGTAGCATATTCTATATGCTAATGTTCAACGAGTTTAAAATAACAAAATATAATGAAAAGATGCAGATATAAATATCAATATTTGTATTTTATTATTTTTATATTGGCCTAATTTCAAAAATTTCAAATTTCTAAAACATAAAGTTCATAAAAAATAATAAGTTGCAACAAGTTGCAATATAATTAGCACAATAGAATGCAACACGAAGCATATACTACATACTAACTGTACCACTCTCAAATTGTTAATCAAGCAAAAATTACTTCAAATAGAAATTAAACAAAATATTATAATTTTCTGCACATGTCCTACATATCACCATTAAAGGAAGCACTAACTTATTCTAAAACAGAAGATGAAGTTTAATTTCTAAGCATTCATTAAAAAAAAATTATATATATATATATAAAAAATACTAAGCTTCAGAGAGTAATGGAAAATGTTTGGATTTTTTTAAAGACGTGCTTAGTGAATATCTTATTAACAAACTTAAATTTAATCTCCTCAGAATAAACGCAACAAATTCGAATAAAAGCAGAGGCATAAAAAATAAACTTCGCTAAAATTAAGAAACTAAAATGTGCTCTTTTCCCAAATATGACTGTAAAAAATTTCAATTTTTCTGAGCCAATGCAACTGCTATCACTGAAAATGTATAGAAACAAAAACAAAAAAAAACTCACCTTTCACGCGTCCGACGGTGTACCACTTGTTCACGAGCACTTTTTTTACCCCTGTTCAAAAGCTACACCATGCGTCGGTCGGTATAATTCGGGCTCCGAAACTTGTCGCGACGGCAATTTTATTTCCTGTAAAGAGCTGTAATCGTAGCAATAAAGGTGCAATAAGATTTTTCTTTTTTTTTTGGTGTCATATTGTTTTGCTTGATTGATAGAGTTGCCTTCTACGTGACTATTCGGTTTCCCGAAAATCCGGATATAGCATCTTACAATGATTCTCCCAAGTCTATTGTTCCTAATTTACCCTCCTGCTATTAGTAAATTGATTTTTGTTATTTTGTTGCTACTATAATAGGTCTAATCCACACCGTCCAAACTACAACAATGAAGGGTTGTTATTGGTTTCTAGTTCTCACACTAAGAAGGGTTCTTATTAGAACCCTTCCCTGTATATATATATATATATATATATATATATATTTGAAAGACATTTTTTCATTTCTCTTTTAATAAAAGTTTGGTGTACAAAAAGGATATTTTTTCCTTTTTATGTTTCTCTTATATTGGAATTAATGCAAAATACTGAATTGGAAGAGCCCATTGACAACCATTTTCAGAAAGTAATATCCAGTAGATTTGTTCATATAGCAACATCGTCAAGCAAACAAATGAATATTGTTAACCTCTACAAGTTTGTTTACCTTTAGAAGGTAGTTTTTAAAATTGGCAACCTTAACTTCGAAACACTACAATTTTTAATATGCACTATATATCGCAAGAGCTCTCAGCAAGATCATTATTCAAACATTCAACCAAGCCTACAGTAGCATAGTCTAGAAAAACCTTATGAAATCTTACCAAGCACAAGGTCACGACATTTTGGAGAATCGCCAGCCACATTTCACAAAGGTTATACGTCCTAAATTGTAAAATAGAATAGTCTGAGCCCAATCTGCCTCAAACTACATTCAACACTTAAAAAAAAAAACACAAGTCATTTATTGTAAAAAAACAGAAAAGAAAAAACTTATAGAATAAGAAGCAGATTTTTATAAAAAAATTCAACAAAGCGGGGAACGACACCTGCTTCCTGAATTGGCAGACTACGCTGCCAAAATCAATTATATGATACACAAAATATACATATTCTAAAATTTTCCTTATTATAGTTGAACCCATTGTTTAAGGCTGTAAATGATTGATTGTAGGAGAAGAATTAGTCGAAATAAAAAGTCGGTTGTGTTTACACTTTACAAATTACAAATAGAAGCAAAAATTGATCGAGTGCAGTAAGTTGACATGTTAGTTTCATTGTGTAGTGCTCGACACATCTAGATCGTAAGAATCAAAAAGTACTACTTGTAGTAAATTCTGTGCATGATTGAGTAACTTAACTTTTGATCTAATAAGATCATGACAAAACAAAGGCAAAGATATAAAAGTAGCAGTGAAGCCACGCAGAAAGCTTTTGAACACAACCCTCTACACTCCTAATTAATCGATAAGATCATGACAATTCTTCACTATTTAGTTTCTACAATCGGTAAGACTGTTATCCATTCAATATAATTAGGAGTTTGGGTTCAAATTTAGCCAATTTTGAATTGGTCAAGCGATAAATTGGACTTCTACGAAATATAGCATACATAATATAAAATAATATCAACCTTTAAAGTCACAGTGCTAGAAAGGTTTGCGAGTTGCTTTAGTGTAAGTGTGTAACTATAGAAACTGATCAACTTCCTGACATTATGTATAAAGTTCTTGATCTCTGTTGCGCAAATCATGAAAATACGCAGGAATACTCTTTCCACAGAAAATACCAATCGTTGGGATTTCCATCTAGATACGTAAAGGGGGCATTAGTTCCTCGAATCGATATTATAAATAGAATTAATAATATTGTTAATTTTTTTTTATTATGTGCCTTAGTAGATTTTTTTAATATAATTTCATAATAATAAGTTAATAACATAAACTTTTTTATTTCTTCATGGTACAAAACTTCACTCTCCATCAATTCACAAAAACTAGGACGCACGTATTGATTCAATCCGCATCTCCAAATCATCATGCACATGTAACAAATACGACAAACACAGTACACTTTCATTCGAAAAGAAACCCACACACACTGTCACAAACTAATTTAAACGCCCAACAGAAGTCTTTCAGTACCAACAAACACAGGCAAACACTTAAAACTATCTGCACCATACCCATCCATCAAGAAACCACTGCCATAAACAAACTTCCCCCCTCCCTCCCAAAAATCTCCCCAGAAATCCAAACTCAAAAAGAAAAAAAATAAAATAATAAAATCAATCTCATACCTCCAAAACCCCGTTCGACCCGAACGCAAACGACCCATCAAGCCACCCCTCCTCCCTCGCCCTCCCAACCCACCCTTCGAACCGCCTCTTCACATCCGGCACATCAAGCGCCAGGTCATCGATCGCCTCTGCCACCCGCGCGAACCCTTTCCCCATCTGTCCCATCGTTATCAGCTGCATTTCAAAACACTCCCTCAACAGCCCCCACATCCTCTCCTCCCTCCTCTCCATCACCATCACCACACACCTCTTCACCACCTCGTGATGAAAAAACGGCATCCCCAGCTCCTTTATACACCTGCACGCCTCCCCAACGTCCCCTCCCGCCCCATACTCTTCTAGAAGCTTCTCGATCTTCTCCTTCACGTCTTCCACCGACCACCCGTTATTACACCCCCAACACCTCAGTATCCTCTCTCCCGACAACCAAGCCCTTAAAAGGCTCACGGCCGTCTTAACCACCCTGCTCCCGGGGAAATTGCACCCGATTTCTTCAAGCTCGTGTGGGGTCAAAACCTCGTCCACGACCGCCCTCGCTAGGAACATGGCCAAGTCCTCGACTGCTATCGGGATGTCGAGCGAAGTGTCCTCGGCCGACTCCACTAGCATCACGAAACCTGAGACCACGTCTTCCGAAGGGAAGCATAACGAAGATAACAGAACAGAGGCCATTTCTTTCTCTCGATTCTTTCGCTCCATGGCTAGCGTGATCAACTTCTTCACGAAGATCGCGTTGAGTTCGGACGAAGTGTTTTCGAACTCGAGGCAACAACTTACTTCCGATACGTCGCCCGAGAGGAAATACTCGCGCACGATCGACTCTGCCTTTTTCTTGAACGATTTGAGTCTGTCTTCCTCAACGAGCGCGTGTGGTGGGGCGGTGAGGGACTTTAGCGACGAGGCACAGAGCCAACCCTCGGACGCGGATTTCGAGATCAACGATTGTAGTAAAGGCTTCGCGTTCGGGATGTCGAGCGAGAGGTCGTCGACCGAGTCGATTATCCGCGCGAATCCTTTTGATATCTGGCTAGAGTTGATGAGGTTATCTTCCGAGGCTTGTTTGAGGAGGTCGAGAAGACGGGACTCGGCCTTCCGCCTCTCCATCGCCATGAGGACCGCGCGCTTCACGATCTCGTGGTGGAAGTGAGGGACGTTTAGGTCTTTTACGCGCCGGCAAGCCTCCTTCACGTCTCCGCTCGCCACATACTCGACTAAAAGGTCGTCGATTTTCGACTTGAGGTCTTCGACCGTCTTGTTCCGGCTCCCTCCCCAGCACCGCTCGATGACTTCCGCGTGGAGAGGGGCCGAGAGGTAGCCCTTCTCGGCGCGCGCAATTACGTCGACGCCCTTCGAGTCTTTCTTTAGGTAGGCGACCGTTTTGGTGAGGAAAGAGGGAGGGAGAATATCGTCGACGACGGCTCGCGCGATGAAGAGGGCGAGCACGTCGACCGCGTCAGGGATGTCGACGATTAGGTCGTCGGTGGAGTGGACGAGCTTCTGGAAGCCCTTGTAGACTTGTTGAGGGGTAATTACGTCATTGTAGAGGGAGGAGAGGAGGACGGAGGCCATCTCCTTCTCCTTGTCGTGACGGTCCATGGCGGTGGAGATGAGCTTCTTGACGAAGTAGAAGTGATGGGAAGGAGAGTCGAGCTCCCGGAGCTCGTTCGCGGTCGAAGTGAGGTCGTCGTTGAGGAAGTACTCCTCCACCATAACCGTCGCCTTCTTCTTGAATTTGTCGAGCTGCTCGGTTGTTCTTCGAGGGACGGGCTTCGTCTCCTCCTGCAAAAAAAAAATTACGAGCGGTAAGTTATTATTATTATTCTTGACGAGCAAATTTGGTTTATTTTTTTTCATCATTTGGAAAATATTTGAAGTTGGTCACCTTATCGCTTATGTAGTTTGGGTCGTTTGGGTCATCTGTGTAGCCATCCTCCATGTCGAGTAATCCTCCCCAGGCTCCTTTCCCGCCATAGCCGCCTGAAAAAAGTTGACAGATAGATATATTTGTAGTGTGAGGTGGTGTTCATGGGTTGAAAACTTGAAATTGAATCAAGTTATATCTTGCCATTGAGATTGAATCTCATGATAAATGAGCCTTTTGCATTATTAACAGAAGAAAATACTAGAGTTAGTTTCATATCAAAAGGTGCACCTTTTTTGGGTTGCCCGATTTTCCCGCCATGCGACTGCCGTTGATTCTTGAGGGGGCTGCCGTGGGCCCCACCGCTCGGCTTGCCTTTGGGAGATCTCGGTGACCTCGGAGACTTGGGGGATCTCGGAGATTTTGGTGTTGCTACCTGAAATGGCGAGACGGATGATGGGTCCGCGCTTTCCGAAGCCGATCTGTACTGTTCTTGATGCTCGCTCGACAAAGGCTTATCGGCAAAATCCATTTTCTCGAATGGATTTTTTTTTTTTTAAAAAAAATAGAGCTCTGGCTAAGTTGAGAAATGGCAGTAACTAAGGTATCAACACTGTTTTGTGTGTGTCTGTAAGAATATCAGAGTTTAAAGTGAAGTGACAAAAAAATCCTTGCTTGGAAACCAAAAGAAGAGAGAAGTGTTTTTCAGTGATTGTTTTAGTTTTATCATGGGAATGGTAAGTAAAAGCCAGAGTAAGAAGTTGAGTCCCTACTGATAGAGGCAAGAATGATTGAGAACTGATGGAGAGGAGCCCAATTCTTTGTTGTTTTGGGCAGTGAACTTTTAAAGGAAGTGTTTTGCTTTATTTTTGTGAGGGATTTAAAAGGGGAAGGATGAGATCCTAAAGTTTTGAAATGTAATGGCAGTTATTTTTCTCATTTGAATGGTGGGGACAGTGTCTTAGATCCTATAATTTGAGGGCTCTTTTGGTGGAGTCTTTTGAAAGGGGCAAGTGCCCGGGAAAATCGGTTGGTCAAAACTAAGCATTCTTTATGGGAAAAATAGATTAAAAAAAAAAAAAAAGTGGAGTTTTGGTCATAATAATTCTCCAAGACAAAGATATTTGGAATTCTCTTGCAAGAAAATATATCATTTTCATTAATATTAGGAAAAGTCAATTTTGAAAGGAATTGGATGTATTTGTTATTGTTTGACTTGTGTACAAGAAAAATTAGAAAATGGCTATGTTTAAATATTCTTTATGAAACATATATATATTTTTTTTAAATAACTAGTGGAGGACTTGTGGGATTGGTCATACTTATTATTGTAAAAATCATAAATATAGTAAAAGTTTATTTTAAAGGAATTGCATTTATTTGTTACTGTTTGACTTGTGTACAAGCAAATTGAAAAAAATAGCAATGTTTACACATTCTTTATGAAATTGATATAAAAAAAATGGAGGACTGTGTGGGATCGGTCATACTTATTATTGTTTGACTAGTGTAAAAGAAAATTAGAAAAATGCTAATGTTTCATAAAATTCTTTGTTCAAGCTTGGTTTTGGTCACACCAACCACAAGAAGAAAAACTGGAGAACATGTTTCCTATTCTATTTTTCTTTCAGGTTAGGAGTTTGACGGATCTTGAAAACAATTATAAACCACAGTTTTCAATGTGTTTACACTGGTTTAGATTCAATCAATTAGGACATATTCTCCACAAAGGGATTCGAAACACGCGGATGTATATTTCTTTAACATCCACATTTCACCTTAAACATAAAACTGGACTTCTTAAAAATTTTCAGGATATGGCAATGCTCTTACAACTGTGTAAGAACTTGGGTCTGTCTGTTCAGGGCAGCGTTGTAACGAAAAACGAAAAATCAAGCATTCATCATCTTCACCGTTTTATATCCTATTCCAATGCAGCAAATCCTCCTTTTGAGAACAAAATCAGATAGGTGCATGAATCAATTAGGTGCCAAGAACAGGGATTTTCGGTTTTGTCTTTCTTCCAAGTCCATCATTCAGTTTAGCACGTCGTTCTTCGTAAGTGGCTGAGAGTTCAACAAAATGTGGCCAATCAGAACTGTGAACTACAAGTTTACCTTCATATGATACGAGGTATTCAGTAAATTGTGTTCTCTACTTTCAGAACAATTTGAAATTTCAGAAGGGCGCATGAAAGCATCAATAAGAATCTATTAATGTATTTTTTTTTTTTTTTCAGAACACGACACTCAAGTTAGCAGCTACATTTTGCTTTATTGCTTAGATAATGGCATTTGATATAAAATTTGCTGTTGAAACATTAACTATACCAACCATGAACAGGGTGGCATGGATATGGGTAAAATAAGTTCTTGCAAGTAAGTAAATTAATAAAAAGGCGAAGGAGAGAATAACTAAGTCAAATAAGCAATTTTGAATGTATAAAGTAGCTTAGCAAATAAATCGAACTTACGCTCTGTGGGCCGTGACAATAGGGGAATGTGTGCAGATTCCTTCTTTTTTGTTCTATTATTTAACTGATTATTTTCTGCAATCAGAAATACTGTAAGGCAAAACAAGAAGAAGACGATAAGATGGAATTCAAAATTAATCAAAGCATTTTTTACCATATAAGGCACAAGAAGAACTTAGCAGGGCCTCGTGAAAGATTGCCGCTTGAAGTTTATAACTTCGGCATTCCTTCTCCAAGTGAGTCCGAAGAGCTTGGGCGGCATCTATAAGTCATATCAATCGAAGTAATTAAGATTAAATAGAAGGGCTAATTTTAGGACTGCATTAATAACTGTCAGAGATCGGAAATATGCCAAGGAACGAGCAATCTATAAATATTTCTCACCTAATTCTATTTCAGTTCTTGCATTTCAGCTATTGGCAAAATCAGTTCTTAGTGTTGACTCCTTATTAATTGCAAGTGTTGCACCAAATGTGAAAGAATAATATTGTGAAAATGGTAAACTTAAAAAATTAAACCTCTAACTTTATATTTTGGAGTTTATATGGCGAGTTTTTCCACTCACCCAAAAAGGAAACGACTATCCACATGAGTTCCAGTTTACCACAAAAAGTTTTCTAAGATAGAAAAAACAAATTTACTAACATGGGAGATACGAAAAATGCCCCTCTAACTACATCGAATAAAGAATGCATATGAAGCAAAATTTAGGCATCCAAGCACTGATGAAACAATACAAAAGCATGGCAGTGGAGCTGCAATGCTACAGAAGTTAACTGCAGTTAAGTCGTAATTTACCTGACGAACACTTAAACGTGAGACCCAGAAATTCACACGACCTTAGAACAAGTGGAATCTCGGGGGCCATTGTGTATTGAGGTTTCCTTGGTGTTCTTTCAATATCCAGTAACTCATCTATAACCTAAAGATTGGATAAGCACTAGTCATAAAAAATACGGAATACAAACTCCAATAAATCTAGATCACAAAACAATAGAAGTAGCCTCACAAACAGTAATCAACACTGCATAATAGAAATCATAACATGATCTTACGCAACATGTGGAAAAGTACCACAACCAAGCACACCGGAACTGTGCATTTAAATGGCTCCTCAGCAGGCAATATTTTGCATTTGAATTGAGCTTATCACCCAACTCATTATTTACTAATAGTATATACCTGATCAATAATGGACAGTGCTTACTTTATTTAGCAGGGACTTAAAAACATCAGGTAGGGAAAACCAACTTGTCATGGTCTTATTTACCAACACAAGAATGTTACTGACCTATACATAAAATGCTAAAATTTTCATGCATGCTCGAGGTGAAGAAACTAGCTTGTTACTAACTTCTGGCAGCATCATATCACATTCAAATACCAAAACTATCCCTCTTAGATTCAGACATATATAAGACTGAATTACGGAAGTAGTAATGACAAATTGAATTCGTCAAATGCTTAAAGATACATAAGAATTCAAACCAAAGATCGATGAAAATAACACTCACATTCGGAGATTCAAGACCTTGGCCAATCAAAAAAAGTACAGCAACCATGCATCGGATCTGGTGCCATAGGAAAGCGCTGCCTTTGATTTTCATTGCCCAGAGTTCATCATCTTCAAACCTGCAGCAGATGATACAGAAACAAAAATGAAACAGATAAAATCAAAAGATTAATAACGCACTATAACAATTCTATCATCAGAAACTTTCAAGACAAAGCTATCTATATGGATAACAATATAATCAAACCGGAAACTGATGAACAAGACTTAACTCCAGGTAACGAGTATTCAATATAAGTTAAAAAAAATTAGATTAGTAGACTTCTGGTTGGTCATGTCACATCTCATTGTATTATTTATAATTTATTCTCCAAAACATCAACAAAACCTATATTGATTCCACAATATAAGAATTATCAGGCTTGCTTTTGCATACCGAGGCCAAGATGTATCTTGTTTTCCCCATCTCTCTCTCTCACATACACATAAGCATTCATACATATTAATATATATGAAGTAATGATCAAGTAGGAACTAATACTAACTTAGGAGCTAGGACCCTGCTAAAATACATTATATGTATTGGTAAAATACATCGTATATACTGCTATTATATATATATATTATTTTACACTGCCAAAGTAGCAGTATGTTGGATGTATTTGAGCAAGTCCCTAGTTTGTACGTTAAAAATGGTTCCTATCAGATCCTAATCCTATATATGCGTGTGTATGTTTACAAAGTTTAACACTTCAACCATAAAATTAATGCCCATAATTGCATAAATTTGCATTTGTACACATTCTTCAATATGGGTATGATAAGTAGAAAGTAACTCTTAAGGTTCACAATTACTTTTAAACCTTTCACTACATGGGAAAATTTCAAATGATGTAATGTGACGCCTATAGTTGTGAACATTAGCTGCATCCATCTTACAGAAGTTTCTGAAATCATGTTCTCCAGTAAATTTCTTTCCTGCAATCTCCATTACCTGTCGTACATGTTCAACAACTGTTCATTGTCCAGAGTTTTCAAGAAATTAGGCAGTAACTGGATATAGAGCTCATGAGTCATCAGTCCAAATATACACAAAGAAATGCTTACTGTAATGTTTAAATTTTCTCTCCAGAAGAAATACTTGTATTCCCTGCTTAAGCAATTGAACCTGCAATGTATTTTATAAATTTACTAGATATAATGGTTTGACAGAAATGTAAAAAACTCAACCATCAAAATGTTATTACCCTTTCAAATTGTAAGATCAATGCTGAGAAAATGTTCATTTCATGTATCCATAAGCAATAAAGCCTTGGCTCCAACAGATAAAATATCATAATTTATCTATATCACAAATAAACTATATTTGTTATCTTTCATATGTAATTATTTAATTTATTTACGCTATAGTAGTGCTGGAGGATCAAAGGAAACTGCACGGTTCATACTTGAGACATGATATGGTTTGCAGGAGCCTCATTTCTTTGAGACACCTCGGGCGCAAAATGAAAACAAACTAATCATAGAGGGTGGTAATTTTAAAAAGCATTACTGTATAGGAACCTACATTCTCGTGTCTCCAGGAAATGAGATGATACTAATATAATGTATGAAAATGCAGATATTTACGGTATTCATGCATTTACCAAAGTACATAATATTTGGTTGTCCATACCTTATATGCTATAGATGTCACATTATAGTGACCAAACAGATCGGAAACAGAAAAATAAATTTCTTCTTTCTTAGTCCATAATGTTCGCATTAGGAGAGAAGAGGAAAAAGTTCAAGAGGGATCACTTACCTTGCACTGAAATCAGTTGGAGCAGGTGACCACCCAATAACTCGTATGTCTTTTGGAAGTACTTTGTTTAGCATCTTCACATAATCTACTTCGCTACCTGTCAGGAAGAACATGTATCAAAAAGAGCATAAATGGATTGAATGAAACTTGAAAGAACATATTTGTGATACAAGTAAACTTGTAAATCTGTATGTAAGACACCACAATAACACAGATTATTTAGTTTCAGCCACATACACACACACACACACAGAGGAAAAAACTGTGTGTGTGTGTGTGTGTGTGTGTGTGGGTATCCATTTCGAAAATTAAATGTCGATACTGGAAAATGTGCTAAATGCACAGAAAAAATTCAGTAGCCATATTATGCCAGGTGGAAAATTAGTCCTATTCCACATCATCATAATGCATATATATCCCAGAAAAGCACAGGTAAATTGTGATAATATTTACATTCTTCTAAGTTACAGTATTACAGGAACTAATAGCATACTACGAGATACTTCAGCAAAAGATTCTCCAGAATATCCATCGCTCCTTGTTGTTTCCTTGAGATTTGATCGCAGTAATAAAGAAATTACCTGCAGTAACCAGTAACCAATGTAGAAGGTAACCAGGAGAAATAAAGAAATGATGCTACATGTATTAAAAAACAACAAGCCATTGAACATAAATGCCAGTATGGGGTTAAATAAGAAAATCCATGACTGACCTAGATTGAACCTGGACAGGAAGATCTCTATCATCTTTCTAACTTAACTTATCTTGTCAAGAGTTCAGCTTAATATAAGTCAATTTAGAACAATTGGTAAAAGTTAAAATAAATATTCTGGCAGTTGAGGAAGGGTCAACACACAATGCATAATATTTAAATATGTAAACGTAACTTCCAGAAAAAGAAAAAGGAAAAAGATAATGCAGTGTTCCACAAAATAGTCTAAACATTTTGATGAAACATCTCTGCATTAAAATTCGAAGTGATTTTTTCTGTATTTTTATTTTTATTTTTTGAAGATGACAATTTTAAGGAGAGGATATTTAAATTGTGTCATGAATGAGCAACAACAAGCCATTTTTAAGCAATGCTTTCTTATCAAATCTTGCTTATAGAATAGAAATTTCAAAAGACGAGCTGCATTAATCACAGTGGAAGGATAACATAAGAAACTAAGGCCGGTAAAAGTTTCGCTTACTTGGCCAACAGAGGAAACTCCCTTGTCTGTTCTGCCGCATCTAGAGTACTGAAATTCCTTCTTATCACCAGATATCAACCTCGTCTTCTTGAGGGCCTTAAAGATTTCTGACTGAACCAATATACAAGAGAACTCATTTCATATCTTCTGCGCAAATTGCATTTTCAACATGAACTTAAATAGAACATTATTATTTTAGCGAACAGATCAAATTTCTCTTTACACCATCAATTGAAGACATAATAACAAGTCATTTGACTCCTAAATGTAGCAGAGGGAAAAAAATGTGACACTGGAATAAAAAATGCCAAATACATCATTAGTCGAGTATATTTGAAAGGTGCCAGTGAAGATGAACTAATAAGAGCGCTATCCACTGTTTTGGAAAAGCATTCATGATTTTCTTCAGTGCATTTGAGAATAAAAATCCTTACATGGTTTGGCTTCAACTGTAGTGTAATTTTAATATTTTTATAGAAATATACCAGTGGCTTGCTTGCCTTCNCTTTTGGTTGCCTGACATGATAATAATCAGATCGAAGGTAAAGTCTTAAGCAAACGAACCCCAATTTCATACCACCTTACCATTGATTATTTCGACCAAATAAGCTAGTGTCTCAAGTAAGAGACCAGAGCTAAAATAAAGATTGCTGGTATTCGACACTACTATGACAGAAAAGTGGTAAAATCACCTCTATGGTGGGGTCCATCTGTGCCTCCGAAGCAAAACCGTAAAACCTGTAGTCCAGAATTCAACAATTTATAATGATGTAAATAAGACAGATCAAATATGAAGCAGTTACTAATATACAGCTTGTTCTACAACTGCAAATGCTCAGATTATGTCAAAAGTAGATCACCATATTGTGTCATCAATGAATAGAAATGCATGCCTGTGTGCGTGGAATGTTCTATTGACTTCTAGTCATATATCAATTGAAGGCAATATGTGAAGGAGAAACTTCCCAACTTGCTACGCATATTGAGGATAAAGATGCCACACATCATGGCCACAGATGAAACACTATAGTACCTCAAACATGAAGAATAAAGGTTTGTTCAACGCTAAATACTATCTTTGTAACTTCTGGGTAATCAAATAATACTCGTGAACAATAATAAGTAATCATGAAACAGTTATTCTTATTTTTCTCCAAGTGGAGTAATAAAGAAAGGATCATAGATAAATGAAACAGTTACTACATTGTGTACCTTGGACCGAAATACATAACTTTTAGAGCAACATGCCGCCTTGGAAAATGATGCAAAACCATAGCTTCTCTACGTGTATCTAACAGGGAAAAAAAACAATAAGAAAATCAACAAGCTCAGCAACCGTGTCAAACACTCGTCTATGCCAACTGTAAGGCAGCCATACACTCTGTTCAGTGCATAATCACACACCACATGTGTGTTCGAAATGTACGGTTTGAAAGAGCGCAAATGCACTACCTCACAAGTCATACAGAATTTTCCATCAAAGAGTGAGTTTTTAAGACTATAAGCACCTGGCACATCCTCCTTTGATCTGTTTCTGAAATCATCTTCATCAACTTTTTGCCCTTTCATTTTCTCCATCGAGTCTAAACGACTAATTCTATCACTGGCTATAGTCTGCACTAAAGAAACTTATGCATCATAATCATAGCAGTCTGCACTAGAAAACTATGCATCATAACCATAGCACATAAAAAGCCGTAAATTCCAACACAAACTCACAATAACAACAACAACAGTGACACAACACAACCACCATCACCAACTACAACACCAAGTCACCAATATCAACAACAACAACAACAATAATAATAATTCACACATGAAGTTGTCGGCTCCTGCACGAAATCAAATAACCACTAAGCATAACAACATAGTCGGAAACACTACGATTTCAGCTCATAGTACCCAATTAGAAAAAATCAAACAAACGGTATTGTAAGTATGGGTTTATAGCCATCAAACGCCTAACCTTCACGCAGGTGCACCTCGAGAGCTGAGCAGAAAGCTGGGCATTCACAGCTTCCAATTCCTGCAATTCCAAATAAAGAAAAAAATGTTGAAGAGTAATTGGACATTTGATTGGGTCACGAGAAGTGTGTGTACATGAATCCTTTTGTTGAGAGACTCTATCTGGGCCTGCAACGCCTTGGCCAGTTCAGTGTTGGGACCTTCCGCCATTTTCTTTACAGCATGCGCACACCAACTGTTTGAAAGATAGACTGTTAGAGCTGTAAATATCCGTTCTTTCCCGCGATCTCTACTGTATATATTCCTCACAGAAAAGTAATGTGTTAAATATATCACTACCTCTTATTCTTTTTAAATGTCATTTTGACTTTATCAATCATTAACCAAATAAATGTCGTTTTAGATCTTTTGTACATATTTTTTCATTATTTCTCTTTTGACTTTATCAATCATTAACCAAATAAATGTCGTTTTAGATTTTTTGTACATATTTTTTCATTATTTCCCTCATTTAGCTAATGAATACACTACGTTTTTTCATATTCACTCTTCATTTTTTCTCAAAACATTCATCTCTATCTTCATTAATGGGAGTTATTATTGGCAAAAAAAATATTCTTAATTATTGTGCAACTTCTCAAAACGAAACTTATTATGAATAGGAGGGAGTACTTTTTTAATATTTCTCAAGTTTTTTTTTCATTTTTTGTTTCTGTTAATATTTATTTGTTTAATTACCTTTCTGTTTCAATTTATTCTAGTTTGGTCACATTTTTTATTTTTCAATTTTTAATTTTACTATTTATTTCGATATACTGATTTGAAATCTATGCATTTCTCAACTCACAAGTGTATGTCTAGTATTCTTGTACTTGTAGTCTGGAAAACTGATATAAACAATGCAAGAATGAAATACAATTACAAATTTTGTTAATTTTATAAGGAGATTATTGGTTGCAAATTATTATTATTATTATTATTATTATTATTATTATTATTATTTTTTGTCCAGTGATGAATATATAAAATAAGCTGGTAAATAGGATAAAACATAACTTAATTCAACTCGTGAAATCTTGAGTTCGGCGTGTCATTTACTCAAACGAGCGAGTCAAAGAAATAACCTAATTCACAAGTTCGGCACTCCATTTGTTCAAACGAGTGAGTCAAAGAAATAGTCTAATTCATTTATTATCAAACTTGTCCATGAATAGATTGTTTTTTTTATAGAGTTTAAATATCTATATATATATATAATAAGAATTAATATTTACCATAAATAGTAGTAAGAAAAAGTCAACCCACATTTATTATATACTATTTTTAGCAATTTTTTTATTTTACATTTTAATTTTAATTCATTATCAAAAAATTAGATGGTTCCTAAATTAATGGGTTTTAGATGACGTATCATGTTTCAAAAATTATAAATCATTTAAAATCGGATGGTTCCTAAATTAATGGTTACAAACTTTTCAAAGTTGTAATCTTTATGACATCTTTTTTTTTTGACTTTTAATAATAAAATCATTTTAAATATGTATATTCTAATCCAGAAATTCAATCATGTTATATATATATATATACCCAATCAATTAATCTTAATTTTTTTTAAATTACTATGTTTATTTTTTATTAATATGCATAAAATAAAAATAAATAATTCTGTAGATATAATTTATAATCTTAATATACTATCATTTGGTGTAGACATATGAATCATAAATTTTTTTTATTTCATAAAAATTAAATATTATATTTAAAGAAAATAATGAAATTACTTTGGATCAATCGGGTGATTGAATTAGGGTACTGCCCACGTTGTGAATTACTTTTAGGTGATATTTAAAATAGTAAAAAAACTTGACATAACTTGGTTGGTCCCAGGTAACTAAGTTATGTATCAGTTTGACCAGACCAAATCGATTATTGAACCTAAATATAAATTTTAATATTGAAAATACTTTATTATGTAGTCCAAACTTCAAATAATCATATTAACAATACTTTTACGACAACATGATTAATGATTTATGAATATTTAAATATCATTTATTATTATTTATGTGAACAAAATAATTATTTTATTATCATTTTTATTAATGTACGATAAATATAAGGTTTTCAGAACCAGAACGTCATCGAAACGATCAAGTTATTTTATTAAATCATTTGTGGTTGTTCAGATTTTAATACATAATACTTTAATATATATATAGATATATATATATATATATTACTTTTTGCAATAAATTTAAATAAAAAGTGTTACTTAAATATCTAAACAATTTATAAATTTAAATTTTTAAACTAATTGATAAACAATTTATAAATCTCTATTTTATTTAAATATGTAATTTTATTTAAAATAATTTTTAATGTAACAAAATTTGTTTAGAAAATCGTATCGATCCTACCAATCCAACATACTGATGTTGACGAATTCGATAGCAAATATTTTATTCAAGCACAATAGACTGGTTATAAACCGGTTCTCGGTCTATCCGGTCGGACTGTGTCCAACCCAGTTTAATTTAAAAATAATGAGTAAATCATGATTAATGTTATTTATTTATTTAATTTATAATACAATCAAAATATTGTTTTCCCGTGCATTGCACGGGCCACACACTAGTAATAGTTGAACCAAACTTACTCACAAACGAATACTTCATGTTCGCAAACTAACTCATTTTAAATTTTAAGTTTATTAAATGAGCCAAGTTCTAGCCGAGCATTTGGCTCATCAATTAAGCAAACACGAGCTCAAATGAGAACTACCTTAAATGGAACCAACAGCACATCATCATTACCACAAACCAACCACCAACTCATGGGGGTACTAAAAAAGCTTTACAGGATATTTGGAAAACCTTATAAACCATTAAATTAAGCACAATAACATTAAAAAAAAAACACACACACACACACACACACATGCACACACACACACACGCACAATACACGCAAAACGATGACCAGCCACAAAAAATTGTAAAGATCCTTTCACCCGAAGGAACACATCATCGTCTCTTTGCAGAAAATATGAAGCATCAATTGAAACCAAAATAACCATCAACTTCCCATAGACATTGGAGAAGAGAACTTTTAAGCTACACTCAATAACTTCTAGCTAGCCATAGTTATTAAGCACACAACACAGGGGGTTACAATGTTGAAAGCACAATTGTCATTGGCCACTTCAAGCCTTCGTCTTGGATCCAGTGTTGGTAGCAGGTGCTGCTTCAGGACCACCATCAGCAGTGTTTGTGTCTCCCTTATTCTCATCATCACTATCACTCTCATCATCTGCAACATATCGAATTTTCATTCGTTACAACTGAAGAGTTCGAATGTAAGTTTTTATGAGGTTTTATGTTGACTGGCGATTATGAAAATTTACCTTCATCGCCATCTGGAATGTCATCATCAAAATCCCCAGCTCCGCCCATGTTAAGCTTCTGAAAACAATCGAACAATGTTAAAACTGTAATGAACTTAGTGCATTTGTGCATTGAACATTTAATTATGGAAACATATAGTGTAGCTACTCACCGATAAATCAAAGTCGCCAAAGTCCATATTTTCACCAGCTGAAAAAAAAAAAAAAAGAAGTAGGTACTAACGTAGCCAAATCGTTTATATTCCTCCTCAAGATTAGCACAATCATCTATAATCAACTCACATGCATCTATAATGGGCTATTGCCCACAAGTCGTGGAATATGCAACTTTGTCGGGACACAAAAACACACACACACAAACAAACAAACTCGAAGATGTAAAACTTACGCTGTCCATCCTGTTCATCTTCATCTACCCATTTGTCCCAATCAACTTTCAGAAATGCAGGGGGTTTTCCCTCTTGCTTTAGAAGCCTACTCCACCATTGACTCTCGGCCTTCTTCACAAGATAGCATATGTTTCTTGACGTGAAACTAGCCTTGCTCTCCTGAAATTCCCATGTCACAAAAATCATCAATTCCCATTTCCATCACAATAAAACAAAAACCCAGTTGCAGTTCAAAAATACTTACATTGACATCAACCTTGTCATACAAAACAATATCTAACTCATATAGTGCATTATCCACACCACTGGTGCCTGAAAAGAAGAACTTCCCTTCTGGATCAAGATTCAGTTTCACGTTCTTGGCATCTGGAAGCTCTACGGTAATGAATAGTTTGTCCGACCTCTGAGCCCATTTTACAAGTGGATGTCGGCTGAAAATACAAATATTTGCTATATCAATCAAGAATTAATGGATTAGCAAGAATATATATTCATGGCTAGAAAAGCATAAGAAATCTCGAATTTAACATAAAATGCAGAAATAAAAGTAATCAACATGGTATGATAATTGATATGTCAAAGTGCAATTACATCACTGTTGGCATCTTCAGAACAACTTCATAATCAAGACAGGGTTATGTTTCGGTAATTATACCAATCTTGCATAATGAATTGACGGACACAGATATTTATAGACGTTTTCTGCCGCCTTAACAATTGGATCCAATTTCTTGATTATGAAATCATTAACTCACATAATCTTAATCATATAATCCCGACCAAATACTCGCAGATACATAAACACGACCAAAATGCAATGAATTATACGAATCCAGTAAATACAAGGTAAATGATTCAACCGTTGCCTCGTAGAAATTATCCCAAATTCAGCAATTTGTTAGACTACACTGGCAATACGCTTACCAATGGCCACCATGTAATCCAAATTCTATAAGCAAAATATACATCCAGTCCCTGCAAGTTACTACTAATCCATAACCACAACATAAAAACAAATTCATGGCTACTCAGCCAAGCCAAAACAGTAAAAATCGCCTCAGAAAGCTTCTGCTCCCACTAAGAAACTCCACAAACAACTAAACCCAGCGTTAACACAACGCTGAAAAGGGAGAGCAAAAAACATTAAAATTGGGATCATCAATAAATTTTCAGTATGCGTATCAGAAAGAAACGAACAAGAAGAACTCTGAAGCAGACTACCTCATTTTTTTTTCAGAAGTTCTTGTCTGACAATTGAATTTGAAATCCTCAGAAGAATGGCGAACGCAAAATCGTAACTCCCAAAGCAGCTGCGTTGGGGAATTTTGAAGTAAAAGAGTCGTTCAGTGCTGGAAATGTCTAGATGCTTCTATGGCGAGCCTTTGGAAGATACTCGCTGAGAATTTTTTAATTAAACTAGTACACACAATATAAAAATATAAACTGAATTGCTAAATACTGCACCCGTTTTATTACGTACCGCACCCGTAAAATACAAAATTATCCTTTAATTAAAAAAAAAAAAAATAAAAATT